AAGGTGATGGTTTTAGGAGATCAGACCTTCGGGAGGGTAAAGCCATCATGATTGGGATTAGTGTCCTTATAAAAGAGACCTCAGAGTGCTAGCTCTTCCCTTCTGCCATATGAGGACATGGTAAGAAGGTACCTGCTTTGAACCAAGAAGTCGGTCTTCACCAAATATCAAATCTACCAGTGCCTTGATCTTGGACTTCCCAGCCTTCAAAACTGCTTGGGGGTCAAAGCAGGGGCTGAGGGCTTCACATTCTTGCAAGGAGGGTGAAGCACCCCCACCTGCTCCCGCTTCTGAGGGTAGGCCGAGAAGTCCCCAGGTACGCGAAGAAGTCACCCAGTATGCCTTTGCAGATCCGGTCCACACTGACTTAGCTTTTTGGACTGTCCAGAGCTTGCCAGGAGTGCCCCAGCGCCAGCAACTTCCAAGATAAGCTGCTAAGGAATTTAAAATGGACCACTCTTCACCCAGAGCTGGCACTAGCACATCCCAACAGACAGTAGCAGCTGATGCATCTCCTGATACCAGTTGCCCTATATGCTTGGATAGATTTGATAACGTTTCTTACTTAAATAGCTGCTTACATAAGTACTGTTTTCGCTGTATACGGGAGTGGTCAAAAATCAAAGCTGAGTGTCCACTATATAAGCAGCCCTTTGATTCTATTTTGCATTCTGTGAGGGCAGATGATGGCTTCAAAGAGTATGTCATAAGGGCTTCATATGATGGTTCTGCTGTTCGACAATGTCGCTCCCACACAACTGTGACAAGGGAACGAAATGTTTCTGTACCTAGTGGTACCGCGAACAGAAGAACAACTGCACCAGATACTGGAGTTCTATTTGAAATGTTAGACAATTCAACAAGAGGTAGAGATGTGACAATTCCTGAGTTACTGAGTCGGTTTGCAATAGCGAGGCCAGCTACTGCCCATGAAATATCTTTGCCAAGAGCTCAAGAACAAGATATTATTAACTTTAGATGAGCTCTCTATTGTGCTGGTGCTCGAGTTAGAAGTGTTGAAGATGGTGGCCACTATAGGGATATTTCAGCTGATTTTTTCCATAGAAATCCAGCTTCCCTGCACAGATTAGTGCCCTGGTTAAGATGGGAACTTAGAGTTCTTTTAGGAGCTCGTGAACCTTCAGTGGATATCATCCAGCACATCATCATGACTAATGTTACTCACTATGATTTGGAGAGCCAGGCATTTGTGCCTGATTTAAGCCCATTTTTACTCAATCTAGCATTTTGTACAGGAAATTATCAGTTTTGCTTGATCTCCTTTTCGCATGGTAGCCTTTGACCAACACGCTAATTATGATTACCCTGTGCCTTCAAATGAAGAAGGCAGCCGTTCTGATTCTTCAGTCATAACAATATCTTCACATGAGTATGAGACCCAAGAGCCAGATATTGATGTAGCCACTGTTAGTCAGGCACCATGGGGTGATGAAACACCGGGACAATTTTACACAAGCTCAGAGCAGGTACATGTTGCTATGTCTTCCCTTTTATTTGTTATTTTTAAAATTTCTTTTTTTTTATTTCAGGATATTATGAGAGTACAAACATTTTGGTTACATTTTATGTCTTTGCCTCACCCAAGCGAGGGTTAGAGGCATGCCCTTCCCCTCTACAATGCTCACCGTGTCCTTAAATTGTGTTTACCCTCCCCCCATCCCCCTAATCCCTGGAGAATATTACTGCCACGTGAGCACCATAGTGTTAATCAGTTAGTACCAATTTGATGGCGAGTACAAGTAGAGCCTATTCTTCCGATCTTGTGATACCTCACTTCAGATAATGGGCTCAAGCTCAATCCAGGAAAATATAAGAGGTGCTAGATCGCTGTTGTTTCTTATATTTGGGTAATATTCCATTGTATACATCTACCAAATTTTAATAATCCCCTCATGGATTGACAGGCACTTGGGTTGTTTCCACATCCTTGCAATAGTGAATTGTGCTGCCGTAAACATTCAGGTGCAGATGTCTTTATTATAGAATGTTTTGTGCTCTTTTGGGTAGATGCCTAATAGTGCTATCGCTGGATCAAATGGTATTTCTATTTTTAGCTCTTTGAGGTATCTCCAAATTACTTTCCACAGAGGTTGCACTAATTTGCAGTCCCACCAGCAGTGTAAGAGTATTCCTGTCTTTCC